CATCGCTGCCTACGCCGACGGCCAGAGGCCCGCGCATCTACATTTTTTCGCCTGACCCCATCAGTGCCGACCCAACTACACCACCACGCGCATGCCTCGCGGCGGATATGCGCAGCAGCAAGAAGGTTTCGGTCATCCCTTGAGGGTGAATCTAGCCCTGCTCGCCAGAAAGACCCCCCCCTTCACTACAACCCATGTCTAAGCAAAAGCTTGTCGAGGAGCGAGGGGAAGAAGGGAGAAGCCCACGATTCCCGCCGCACTTGTGATGCATTCTGAGAAAACCACAATATAAAATATTTGCGCATAAAAGCGATACTCAATTGTTCCTCTGGCAGATATTCGCGCGCATATGTTTAACAACATTTGAAACCATAAACATGGGTCTCATCACTCGCCGTCAAATGAGCTCAACTTCTTTGGCGCTTTTTCTTAAATTTTCAAAATTCTGAGCCTCCATTTCTGACAAAGGTCTTTCTTACGAGCGGACCGGCACTGCAGTGTTATGCAATACGTAGACTAGACTGCTCTGGTGCGGTAACTATTCATCCATTTTGCTGCGCGGAGGAATCTTTAGCTGCGACACCCTGTGTGAAGTTGTTGATAGCAAACCACGGGTGCGCGCATGTCATATACATACAAAGGTGGCACGCACTGCTTCTCTGTTCATCACACCCTTATCGTACCGCACCGAAACGTTTGCTGTTGGCGAATGCGTAGGAATGTATCTTTCAAGCGTCCCCCAACCTGTACCCTGTACCTCACCGTCCGCCTGTGATCAAAGGACGCTGTTGCCGCTACAATGTACTCGCAGTCAGAACTCTTCCACCACCCCTGGCAAATTGTTTATCTCCCGAACGAGCGTTCTGCAACGGTTCAGGGGAGCTGCTCGTGTTGGAGACAGCTGTGGCAGCAATGGAAACACAGCAGTGTGGTCGACCCCCCTGTCACTGATGCCAGGACTTCCTCATGTCTCTTTTCTAGTTGCTCTTCCTTTCCGCGTCAACTTTCCCTCAGCAAACCCCTGTAGCAGATGATGACGATATGCGCTCGAGAGTTGCACGGCGCTGATCGCCCGCGACTTGGTCGCGAATATGACACTACTGTTGGCTCTAGCGCGCGGGGTTTTCTGCTGCTGACTTTGCTGGCACAATTGGAGGGCGAGAGTGCAGATTCTCAAACACCGTGCAGCAGCGCACCACCACATGCTCGCCCTCGACCTGATGTACACAATTCTCCCAACGTGCTGCATGTTCCATCAAAAGTGTATACATACGCGAAAACAACATGCACCGCTGTCTTCATTTGTACCCAGCTGCGACGCCTCCGTTTCCGTCTCGTATTCAGGGAGCGAAAGGGTACCAAGGTGGAGGACCTGTATGAGACCATCTCTGTCATCGGGAAAGGATCGGGTGCGTGTCGTGAGGTATCCTTTGACTTACCCCCTCGACGAACCCCGTACCTCATCCGAAGCAGCCTGTGCGTTGAGAAATGTGTGCGCTGCCGAGCCCTTGAGTCAGGATGCAGGTATGACTTGCCCCGAGCGACGGGTCTCCAAAGGCGAAGAGATGTGTGCCTCTTTGTCCTATTTGGGTACCTCCCTACCCTTCTTGAATCGGACGGAAGGTGTAGTCCAACCCAATGTTGCGTTTGTTGAAGAATGTCAGAAGCAGCAACAATAGTGCCTTCAAATTGGTTGTATTCAGCCCTAAAATACCTCCTTGCACACCAGTGTTCTCGTCGTACTAACCTGCCGTCGGCCGCCTTTGTTATCGGCCCGCAGTGGGGATGATTTTGAAGGTGAAACACCGCCAAACCGGTGTGGAGTACGCCCTCAAGACTATCCAGCTTGAGAAGATCTCTCCTTCGATGCTGACGGAGATGCGGAACGAGATCGAGATTCTTAAGCGGCTCGACCACCCCAACATCATCCGTAAGTTCATGATGCCGTCGTGTTTGCGACCACAGAACTGTGTCGTACTTTCATGTGTAGTGAAGCGGATGCCTCGTTAATGTTTCATGACTCGCCTCCGTAGCGAGTCGGTGGCTTTCCCCTCCACGCATCGCGGGCGTCCATCTTTTCCTTCAACCCATTGTTTCTGTTGCAACCCCCGTCCCCCCCGCAAGAATCGTTACGATGGGAGATAAGTGTTGGCCCCCAAACACTTCTGAGCTATAGAGCTTCTTGTACAATAATTGAGGACCCCAGACGAGCTCCCCGAGTGGTTGGAGTGTCTTTATTGGGAGTAGGATTGGCAAATAATCTCGAAAGAGGTGCGTGGCGAAGGGTCATACCACCACTTGAGAGACATCGCAACTGAGTGCGCCCATGTCCACAAGAAGACAAAGCAACCTTTTGGCTGGATCGTTCATCCCTTTGCGTGGTGTACAAACATGCCTTTCTGCTGCTGCCTGCAGGAGCAATCGAAACGTTCGAGTCGGACAAAGAGGTATACCTTGTGATGCGGCTTTGCACGGGGGGCGATCTCCACCGCCGAGCCCCGTACGCCGAAGCGGCTGTAGTCGACATCATCACCAAGGTAAAGCCTTCTTAGTATATCCTGGTTGTGAAGGGAGGAGGGAAGGTCCCTCGAGGGGGTCGAGCATGAGGGTAGATTCATGGCGATATACACGATCGCTTACGCCTTGGTTTGGTTACTGGCTAAGCTGACACACACCCATCTCCCCCAAAGCGTACCGTGGGGCACGCTGTGCTATAGTGGGCCAAACGTTGGCCGGGCTTGATGTTGGGTACCTGGCTCCTGCACTTGATTGGCTCGGCTCGTTGTTGGTGTAAGAGAGGTCTCCCATGTCGGGCGGGGAAGCCTGCATGGTGGCGGAGGTGGCGGCGGATCCGTGCTGGGACTTATGCTAGGATATCTGTGATGTTTTGGTGGTAACGATGATCGTGCATGTTTCCGCGGTGTGGGTATCAAGCATTCGATCGGTATCGGGTGACATGTGGTTTTTGTAGTCTGATTCATCCCGTGATACCCAGTCCCCCCCCCCCCCCCCCCCCCCCCCCCCCCCCCCCCCCCCCCCCCCCCCCCCCCCCCCCC